GATCTGCGGCGGGTCACGTGAGGTGGCGAATATTTGATCGACGATCCATCCGCCACTGCCCGCTCCTCGCGGCAAAACGGCGCCTGGCCCGGCACCGCCGTTACGTAACTTTTCGCTGTTGTCGAATGTGACGACCGACGAGCCGAAATTTTTCGGAACTTCCAGCGGTAAAATCCCCAGTCAGCACACCGATACATCGATAGCCAGGGTGCAAAACCGCGTATCGTCACCTCCCGGCCAAGTAATCAAAAGCGCCATGCGCCGTTTAAAAATTTCGGCCGCCATTATGTTTCTATGACGAAAAAAAGATATTTTAGAAGTATTGTAGATCGATAGATTTTTAAAAAATAGAGTTAAGATAGATAGATAGATAGATAGACAGAAAGACAGACGGATATTTTAGAAAGATTTTGTTTTACTGTTTGTTCACTGGATTTTCTTTGTGCTGCTGATAAAAATAAAATTCAGTGAAATTTTCGAACAGATTCAACCAACAATTTCTCTGAAAAAAAAATGAATAAATAAATAAAATGGCCGAGGAAATGTTGAAACGTCGTGTGGCACTTGAAATACTTTTGCCGATAGGTGACGGTATGTATCTCCATTGAGGTGTTTTAAAATTTCGGCTCCTATTCTACTTGTTCGGAGGGGAACACGCCAACTTTATAGCTTGAAATTAATTCAGAATATCCACACGGAGAAAACAACTTCGTGTGTGGGACCCGAAGTTGAGGTCATATGGATCTTTGAAGTTTTGGGAGGAAAATTGGAGGGAAAATAGTCACAATTTTACTGGGAACGCCGAAGGTTTGTACGGCGTTCTTCATTAGCACGGCAGTATAAGGAATAAGAACGTCGTAAGACCCTTCAAACGTTGCCACATTTTCTTCAATATAAACCTAATTTACTTGGGAAAATCGAGAATTTTTTTCTTCAATTTTTTGAGACAATTTTATCCGCAACTTTGTCTTAAATGTCTGAACACTTCAAGAAAAAATACGCATATTCGTTTTCAAAAATACATGTTTTATCCGGGGCAATTTGACAACTTTCGAATGTTTATACACCGTTCTTCCAAAGCATGGCAGTATACTGTAGATGGGAGCCCTAAACCGACGAAATTCGAGCCGATAATACCGGCAGCACTGTAACTTGCGAGGCATGATACCGGTAACCAATAAGCAGCCAAATGATATTGGTTTCATAACATGGGACGGTCGCTAGCTGTCTAATCCTGACTTATTTGGCTGGTGTTCCCGACGCCAAATCAGGCCAGAAGTTACTCGACTGGTCTCATTCGCTGATTGACGGAGGGGGTAAGTAGACACAATCGTCTTCAGCAGTAATACAATAATGAGAGCTTCGCAGCGTTGCACTGTTTCCGCGAGAAATGCATTATTCAATAAGAAAAGTCGATAAACCATTCAAAAATATTGCATTTTGGGACTTCTGGACCAGTGTTCGAAACTCACAAGCGCCAACGCGCCAAATGCGCCTAAAAAATGAAGGCTCTGCGCCAACGTGGTCCCTAAAAATTGCCCTCTAAAAATCTGGATTTTTATAGGAAGTCGCATAAAGAAAGAAAAACAAATCTATTTGACTTTAAAAAAAAACTCAGAATTTTCAGCACTAGAAGTGAAGGCTTTTTCTATTCTTCACGATTTCATTCTTAGTGCTTTTGTCTTCCCCAAGTTAAAGCTACTCACTAGTCCTGTTACGAAAACAACTTGCGTCTAACTTTTCACTAAATGCGCCGCCGTAATATATAGGCAAAAAGTCAATTCGGCCCCTTAAAATTCTTCAATGGCGCCTAAAAATCGGGCTTGATGCGCCACATGGCTCCTAAAACTCAAAGGTGAGTTTTGAACACTGTTCTGGACCCCCTTGGAGACTTACAACTTTGTTGGGAATTTCAATACTATAGAGGCGTACATGGACGACTTTCGTAAGTCACCCTTCATAAAATTTTCCATTTAATTTCAAAAAAAATTTCACTATTTTTCGGAAAGTTCATGGAATTTATCCGATGAAATTTCAATGCTTTATTTTCAATGAAAAATTGCAACCCTGTCTAAGCAGCACCTGATGCCAAGTTTGTTCACTCTTCGAACAGAAAATAATCGACAAAATAACTAAAGCTGGCAACCGCGCTAATGACTACGGAATATGATTCGTCGATTAACGCTCCGCCTGCGATGTTGCAATATCCTCCTTGAACATCATGGTACAACAAAAATCTGGGGCAATTCCCAGATTCTTAATGGAGCGGCAACACAGGAGCTGCCACCAGAAAAACCTAATTTTTCAGAGGAGGCAGCGACACACAAAATGCTCCAAGGATACGTAGAATGTGCGAGTGGGCTCAATTTATCGCCGTGACTTTAAGTTATGTAACGAATTTTTCGGCCTCAATAAAAATTATTCACTGTCGAGTGTCGACAGCCTCCTCAAAGAATCTCTAGCCCGCGGTAACGTAGCTTGCGAGGATGGAAGTTTTAACCGAGGTAGAATATCGCATATACAGGTCTAGTAAGGCTCTTGGAGACAAGACATCGTTTTGCGGACAAAAGATCGCAATTTCTTGGGCCGATTTTCGCAGAAACGCACCAAGTCGCATTTTGTAAGAAGAAAAAAAAAGAATTGGGGAGTACCCAGTTTTAAATTCAACTACCTAGTCGTAAATCGAAGTTGAAACTACCGGACCACGTATCTCGGTTTGCGAAGCTGTAGACTTCCTGTCATGCTTAATTTTGTAAATAGAACACGACTTATCGTCAATTCTGCCATGTTTAGGAAGAACGCCGTATGAACATTCGAGAGTTACCAAATTTCCCTTCATAAAAAATATATTTTTGAAACCATTCATGCACATTATTCCTTGAAATTTTCAGATATTTTAGATTAAATTGCGGACAAAATCGTGTGAAAAATTTGAAGAAAATATTCACATTTTCCCCAGGAAATTCGTTTTGCATTGGAGGAAATGTGGCAATGTCTAAAGGCTCATACGGCGTTCTTCCTTAGCACGGCAGAATTCTAGAAAACTTCCGTGATTTTTCTTCTCAAAGTGAGGAAAACTCTGTGAAAACTTCAAGGAATGATATTGATTTGTTCTTCTTCCAAAAAATAAAATGGGAGCGGAGATTTTTAAATGCCGCAAACGAGATACGTGGTCTCTGGTAGTTTCACCGTCGAAATTGACCGCGTTTAGTAGAAAGGAGCTAAGCCATGAGGCTTGGCTCCTTTCTACTAAACTAGCCATGAGCTACTGCCAAGTTTAAGTGGGCAATTAATTTCTTTGCAAGAGAACGTTTGAGTAAATTCCTTTAAAATTTGTATGGAATTTGCATCGTGCTATGCAAAAAATTCACTGAAACATGCCCAAAAATCCGTAAAACCGTCTTCGAGTAAAAAATTAAAATGCTCAATTAAATGTAGCAATAACTACTTAATGTCACTTGGTTCCTCTCTCCTTGATGCAGTCCAAATGTTTTCCTGTCAAAAATTCAAAGTTGAAGGGAAAAATCGATGAGCATGAAAATAATCGAGCAACTTCATGCATAGAATCGAGTCATGTGGTAGAATACAACTTGAAAACTCTTTCCCTGAGTTTAAACTTTATAAGACTGGGTGCATTTCTGTCAAAGTTGGTCTATTTTAGGGTTGTAAAGTTTTCACTCGCAAATTGTATTTTGACTGGGAATTTTTTCAGAGTTTCAGACTGAAAGTTGCGCTAATACTTCTTCTCATTACACAAAAGTAAGTGAAACTGCAAAAATTTCTCTGTCGATATCAACTGTGTAAAACATAAGCTTGTTTAAATCAATTTTGTAACTTTGGGGTTAAGAGACTTTTCGTCGTCTCGGACATGACAAGTCTGCTGCGCTACAAAAAAAATGTCTGATAAAAATAGGAACGTTTCCAAATACTCAGGGAAATAGGGCCTTTTTTGTCCCTTTAGTAAAAATCTGGAAGCTGGACGTAAGGCTGAAAGGAATCCACAAGTATGATGATGCGAGCCTGTGACAAAAGTGTTACTTAACTTGGGTTGGCAAAATCTAAACTGTTGAACTCTTGGGATGAAATCTGGCGTCAATTTCACTCTGCGGCCTATTCTGTTCCTCAAAAAACTGAAGTGATATTATGAGAGCAGAATCAACTGTTTTAGCGAAGTTACTTAATTTTGCTCCTTGTGTGCCTAGCATTCAAATCACTCAGGTTTTTTGGCAGCAAGATGGGCATCCAAATTTCTTGGAGGGATTTCTGACTGTGTGGTTTTAGCAGTTCAGCACTACATAGTTTACACTATGTAGCACTTTAAAACAAAAGTGCACATGCTTAAATAAAATAATAACTTTGCATTTCTGTATCGCCAAAACCAGTTCTAAATTCAAGCCGAGAACAAATTATAACGGAGACTTCTCTTGTTAAATATTATCTTGTACATTTAAAGATGTGCAGTGTACATGTAGCTAGCTTGAACACCAATGTGTACCGGACATTTGGCTATCTTCAACCAAGAAGAAGACTCTTGGAGACTTTGGGATGTTATAAAGAATTCTCTTTAACTTTAGATAACCATGATGAATGGAGATAAATTTCCTACTGCCTAGAAAACAGCCTAAATTTATCTCTGTTCGCATTTAAGACCTTTTTTAAACTCATCTGTAGGAGTGGTACTTGAGAACAAGAGATGAACGCACGCATGATGAAGTTCTCCCTTCTTCCGGAGCAGTAACAACAAACGCGAATGCCAGAAGAATCAGAAGACAAGCAAGTGACCAATGGAGGTCAGTTCCACAAATGGACTGATCTGCCCAGTTCTTACCGCCTTCTTTAACAGGACCTCTACCTTAGCCAAGGTTGGTTTGAGTAAACAACCCTGTTCCAGTCAGAACACTGACGTATAAACATTGCACACATTATGTAAGGGTTATTGAAAGTGTCCATGGGCTATGAAAAACTAGTCGATTGAGAAACATTAAAGGCAATCTTCTCACCATTATAGATAACGTTGTATAATCCAGAGAGGCGGTCCAAATGATTCCAAATCGAGTGAGAGGTCTAAATCCACATGCGTACTTCGCGCGTAAACACTTATTACAGGGGGCACATACTTCGTTGACGTGAACGGGTCGAACATTGAACTGGGAACTTGCACTTTTTGAAAACGCCGGCGTGAACTTCAGAAAATGCCACGAACCGATCGAGAAGGACTTGCGACGCAGAGACCGACGATGTGATCGTTGGATATTGTTACGTAAACTCCGAAATAGTGTACTCCGAAACTCGGACGGTAACCTCACAAAATCAACAGGTTGACCACGGCAAACAGGACACTACCGGCACTAGAGTAAACAAACGGGGTCAGTGATAGTGCGAACAAATAACGAAAGCGACAGGAAAACAGGAATTTTACTTCCTACGAGTATGAGTTATTAAATTATTCACAATTTTCTTTCGCCCACAAGCCACGGGTTCACTTGGCATTCCATTTGTTCCATTCCACAACACTTTTGTTTACTATGAGAGTACACGAACCTGCCCAATACCATCTAATCATACCTGGCCATGGGTTTGAGGTTAAATGTTCGTAACTCCCGAGAATACACGGGATTGTATAGGGCGAACTTACAAAAATTGATTCTTTTTACATAAAAAGTGCTTGAATGCGGGGAAAAAAATTTGTTACGAAGGCTCTAAGCAAGGTAGACCGTTTGAGCTAAATATATGCGACCGAATTGCGTTTTAATGGAAGAAAAAAAATATTTAATAATGGTAGTGAAGTCATATGGGGAATACAAGGCACGTCATCCAGAAGATTTGGTTCGTGAAGCGAGATGTCTTCCTGACGCTGGGTGATGCTAGTTTAGGTCCCAACCGCAAAGTAGCGAGTAAAATAGACTCCTAAATACATGCCCCTTTGAGAAAAATTGGTTTTTTCACCTTATTTCGGTGCAAGTTAGTATTTATTTGAAGGAGGGGGGGGGGACCACTTCAACTCTTATGATTTAAAGGTAGAAATTTTATTTTGTAACACATTTTGTTACATTCCATACAAGAAAAATTTAGAATGGGTAGAGATAAAGAAGCTGAATATAAGAGTATCTCTTGGATTCGCTAGAAGAACTATAATGTCTATGTAGAACCCCAGAGCCGTTAAGCAACTTTATGGCCGCTATGTCTACGTCGGGAGCTATTACTCACACACTCTCACACGTATTCTCCAATGGCCAGGTATGATTAGATGGTATTGACCTGCCACGAGGCTGCGACACCACCGGTGCGTGATTCGTGAACTATTGGAGGAGAGGGTCAGTGTCCGGACCAATGAGGATCCTCGATTTCTCATTGTTCTTTTCCCCGCTTAATTACGAATTAAGCACCTCTCTGCGCCTGGGTGGGAGGGGGGTGGCAAAAACAATTTTGCGACGCTTTCATTTGATTTTGCGTCAGATATGGTCGAACGCTCTGTATGTTTCAGCTAAATCCATAGCGGATGCAGAGTTCCTTTAAGGTATGGAATATTTGCAGCTAGAATTCCGATTTCACCATTAATATACGGCAAGTAAAAAGCCTCATCGAATACTCATGCCTAGAGAAGTTTTTAGCCATCAACCCCGTGAAGTTCTCTCGGAATCGGATGGCGTCATGCCTAAAGGCCTTGAAGATGCAGTAAAATAAAATTAGCTTATAAATAAGCAATAAAAAATTATACAGCTCAGGGGATTTACATTTCGTTGTGAATCATTCGACGTAAAGAACACCTAAAATTCCCAAAAATTTGGCAGGTGAAATTTAGAGGCAGTTGAATCGTAAATTTGAGGAAAACACAGATGAGAAGCCGGTGCTGTTGCCAGTTTTAGAGACGATTCTTTCAAACGCTTACCTATGGCATCAATAATACAAAGCATGGTTTGGAATTTTTTCCGATTTACTTAGGGAACTGAGATCAGTAGGCAAAGTTTGGCCCGTAAATTATGTGCTCTAAACGTTGGCATTGAACAGAATAAATGCATCCCTGAAGGGGATAGTTTAAAAATTTAGCTCTTCAGAGCTTTTAGATGAATATCGACGGCGCACAGTGGATCGAGTCAATTAGAGAGGTCGGACATGAAATTTTTGACAAAAAATGCGAATTTTGATGTTTATTTCGTCACATTTTTAAGTTTTAGGGGTGCGATTAAAAGAAAATTTCACGAGGAAACCATTGGAACCACTTTAAGAACCTCAAACTTTTGTATAAACAAAGTTATAAGTGTTCGAAGTTTCCAAATTTTGTCCGACCTCTCCTATTGCCTCGATCCACTGTGCGGCGTAAGTCCGCAATCACATATCTCCTTTGCAGTGTCTGAAAATTTCCGACTCTATGCTATTTTTTTTAAAAGAGAACAGATTGACATCATTCCTGAAGTTTTTACAGAAATTGCTTCTCACAGAGAAGAAAATTCATGGCAGTTTCAAAGAAATGCCGTTGAGTAGTTTTCCGTTAAAAAAAAAAATAAAGTATCACAAGAAGTCTGCGACGTCACAAACCGAGTTATATGATTGCCGACTTACACCGTCGATATGCGCTTTCTTCAAAAATGTTTTTGAAGATAGATCTCTTCAACTTAACAACGTCCATTTGATCGTGGGTGTCAGTGTCAGTGTTAAAAGCTCGTTGACACTTGACAGGAGCATCGATCAGTGTACTGCGTTACATAATGCACCACTGCACCAATCACCACCGCCGAGTGGTCTTTAAAGAGAGACAGTATGTGCATAGAATAATAGCTACCAGAAGGGCAGCAGTCGGCCATCTTTGCTCCGGTTTTTGAAATCCCCGCGACCCCCGCTTAGTCTGCTGTTTCAAATTTCGCGGGGAATTCGGCCGAAGTCCGGCCGCTCTCACCCTACGTCTCTCTGCCGTTTCAAATTTCGCGGGGAATTCGGCCGAAGTCCGCTTCGAAAAAGTGACTATACGCGATCTTACGGGAGGATCTGCCAGTTACCTTTCTGGTAGCTATTATTCTATGGTATGTGTCTAAAACGTGGGGGCGGCGGAGCTGTATCTGACCATCAACGAGGAAGGAACCTTTGCCCACAAAATTCATAATTGAGTTGTTGATCTCAGAGCAAGCAAGAGTATACTACGTAGGTACAATTTGACACGAAAACTGCCAAAAAATGTCAAACCAAATCAGAAAGTTGACGATTTGACATTTGCAGTTCAATATACGTAGTTTTGAAAGAGAGGTATATAAATTGGACTGCATTTTGCAATTTAGAACTATAAGTTCTGGCCCGGTTTAAAAACAACGTATGTGCCATTAGTTTCCCTATGCACATAAGTGGTTTTTCAGCTAAGCCATAATTGATAGTTCCAAATTGCAGTCCAACTATGCGTTTGTTATCAGCATTCTATAATTCAATTACCAAACAATTCAAAAGTGAGGATCAGCGTTTCCGACCTCTGTCCATTCAAATCTCCTGCTTCTCAAAAGTAGAATATCTGCTCGTCCTACTAAATGGCTCCTTGGCAGCATAGAGCGGCCCATTGCGAGTTCTCGCCTCGCGCCATCGCGCCTTCAATTCTGCAGATGCAACGCGGACATCCATCAAGCACGAATAGTTGTATGTTTGCGCCGTAATCGATGCCAGGCTTTCCCTTTTTCAACATCCGTGTTGTTTTGGTTCCTTCTGTCTTATCAATTGGACTGCATTTTGTAATTTGGAACTATAAATTCTGGCTCTTCCGGAAAAACACTTACGTTCATATGGAAACTAATTGCACTTACGTTGTTTTTAAACCGGGCTAGAATTTATAGTTCCAAATTGCAAAATGTAGTCCAATTCTAATCCGCCATTTCTAGAGCACAAAGTAGCCGCATTATATTGCAGCATTACGCCCTTTGATGGTAAAAATATGAAGAAGACTATACTTTAAACTTAGTCTGCGGGACACTGGAGAGTCTCCCGTCGGAATTTCAAAATCCGATTTTTCGACCAAACTCGGCCAAAATCGCTCCAATGAAAATTCTACACTAAATGGTCTCAGCCACAAGACTTTTAGGACACCCTACGTAGCAGTTCAAAATGAAATACAATTGAGCCTCTCTGAATTTTATCTTCAAATTCATCAAATCGTTACTCGGCTGGCAAAAAGGACGTAAATGCCTTTAGAAATGATCCCGGGGAAGCATTGAGTTAAAGAGACGACTCGGTTCACAGCCAAGTGTAACTACGCCCTTGACCCTTATTGTCATTTCCCTCACGAAAGAACTTAACTCCATTTCAATGCTACTAAATTTTTCATCGCATTTTTCTCTGCATTTTACCTGGAGAATTTTGGACATTTCTAACTGACAATTTCACCGATTTTTCCTCTGAGCTCATGCAAAATTCAGACAAATTTTCACCAAAAATCGCACAAGTACAATGTAAAAAATTCAATTGTTTGAGTCAGTTTTGCAACTTTGGAATAGAGTTACGTTCCTTCATCCGAGCAACGACATTATGACAGGGAGGCAACGGAATGTACGCTACTTACCAGTGTTCGAAACTCACCTTTGAGTTTTAGGAGCCATGTGACGCATAAAGCCCGATTTTTAGGCGCCATTGAAGATTTTTTAGGGGCCAAATTGACTTTTTGCTCATACATTACGGCGCATTCAATGGAAAGTTATAGAGGCAAGGCGTTTTCGGAACAGAACCAGTAAGTAGCTGTAACTTGGGGAAGACAAAAGCACTAAGAATGAAATCGTGAAGAATAGAAAAAGCTTTCACTTGTAGTGCTGAAAATTCTGAGTTTTTTTTAATTCAAATAGATTTGTTTTTCTTTCTTTATGTGACTTCCTCTGAAAATCCAGATTTTTAGGGGGCAATTTTTAGGGGCCACGTTGGCGCAGAGCCTTCATTTTTTAAGGCGCCATGGCGAATTTTTTAGGCGCATTTGGCGCGTTGGCGCCTGTGAGTTTCGAACACTGCTACTTACCGAGGTGGACATGCAGGTCTTTCGCTTGAGTTTTTCCGCATGGGAGAGGGGTGGAGGGTTGGAGGAGGTTGATCAACAACGTGGTCAAATATTTTGTCGAATTCCTGCAAGGGTTGATGGGGCTCACTTCCAAAGATCATCACTCGAAGTCTGATTTAGGAAACTGAGCTTCCTGCAATAGGTACTGCTGTAAGAAACCTGTGAGTCACATGGCAAGGAGAAATAGCGCAAGGCTATATTGATCCGCGATGTAACAGCTTACATTGTACGGTCAGATGGACATCGGTTACCTAATGCACGTATCTTTCGGTAAAATTGTCATCTATCATCACGTCACATCCAAGCATGAGTGGGCCTTTTCGATTCTCCGTAAGGGTCATTAATACAAGGACGTCCGTTCTTACTTGCACTTGGCAGTCGCATTGTTGCGTATCGATGAATTTTGATCGATCGTGACCAAGCTCACGTTTTTGCTTATCGTTTATTTGTTTATTTTTCGTCTATTTATTGGTTTATCTTATTCAATGA